TCTGAATACCGTATGTCTGTCTCACTAAGGTATGCCTGTCTCACTAAGTTTTGTCTGTCTGAATACCGTATGTCTGTCTCACTAAGTTATGCCTGTCTCACTAAGTTTTGTCTGTCTGAATACCGTATGCCTGTCTCACTAAGTTATGCCTGTCTCACTAAGTTTTGTCTGTCTGAATACCGTATGCCTGTCTCACTAATTATGCCTGTCTCACTAAGTTTTGTCTGTCTGAATACCGTATGCCTGTCTCACTAAGTTATGCCTGTCTCACTAAGTTTTGTCTGTCTGAATACCGTATGCCTGTCTCACTAAGGTATGCCTGTCTGAATACCGTATGACCTGGTCCATTATTTTAATGATTGCGATGATGGAATGTTTACAGTACCGTGCCCTTATTTTAATGATTGCGATGATGGAATGTTTACAGTACCGTGCCCTTATTTTAATGATTGGATGTTTACAATACCGTGCCCTTATTTTAATGATCGAATGTTTACAATACCGTGCCCTTATTTTAATGATCGAATGTTTACAGTACCGTGCCCTTATTTTAATGATCGAATGTTTACAGTACCGTGCCCTTATTTTAATGATCGAATGTTTACAGTACCGTGCCCTTATTTTAATAATTGAATGTTTACAGTACCATGCCCTTATTTTAATGATTGCTATGATTGAATGTTTACAGTACCGTGCCCTTATTTTAATAATTGAATGTTTACAGTACCATGCCCTTATTTTAATAACTGAATGTTTACAGTACCGTGTCGTCTGTACTAAACGCCCTAGGCGCTATCACGTGGGAGGACCTTCTAAAGCCCCATATGGAGACGAGATTAACGGAACATCAGAAAACCATTTTAATCAAGATTATCGGTAAGATTAAGAGGGGTCAACCGTTGGTTGTAATTATGTCAATCAACTTGACTTTGGGCTGTATTAAAATGTAATGTTCTGACTTGATTAAAAATGTAATGTTCTGATAACATTTGGACACGTTTAGCTTACAACCAGCTTAGAGCCAGGCATGATATTTGAAGGGCTTCTGATTGGTATTATTACATTTTATAAAGTGTCTTAAAGAAAGAAAACATACATTTCCTACGTGTATTATTGCTTCTTCCCTAACGTGCGTCAGGTACCCCTCAGGCTTGAAACCTGGATCCGAACTCGAGATGTACAAACTAGCTGTTAAACTCTCTACCATTCGACCACGCGTCCCCTTTTTAAAACAAATTACAATTAAAACTTTGAACTCTGACTTAATGTGTTACCTATCTACCAGTTGTTTTCTATGGTCTGCTGGCTATCGGGGTCAGTTTCCTGGCTCAGGCTCTCCAAGGAACGGTTGTACAGGTAAGTGTTTGGATCATTAACGGTCGTGTAGGTAAGTATTTGGATCATTAACGCTCGTGCAGGTAAGGGTTTAGATCATTAACGGTCGTGTAGGTGTTGGATCATTAACGGTCGTGAAGGTAAGTGTTTGGATCATTAACGGTCGTGAAGGTAAGTGTTTGGATCATAAGAAGATTCCATCTCACAATAAATGGTTCTGATTGCTGGTACATTCAAGTCTGGTTGAGCCCAAACATACCGAAGACATTGGAGAAGGTGGACAGATCACCTGACTAGTCTGAGACGGTTGAAATGTACGGTGAACGTAAGCTGTGTGCGTGTTAGCCTGGAGCCAGGTGAAAGTTGAATGCTCTCATGTTGCAGGCTGCCCTGAGTTTTGTTGGCTCTGTCAACGGACCTTTAACTGGGATGTTCCTGTTGGGGGCGCTCTTTCCCTGTGCTAATAAATACGTAAGAGTTGTTTTTACCTTCGTTTTTCTCTCCCTCATCTCCTTTCTCTCATTTTCTCCGCCTCCTCCCATTTTTTGTCTTTACTCAGCTGCTATAAATAAATCTTACACTTAAAAATTAGCAAACGTGCATTGTTATCGTAAATATTGTGTACCCATGTCTGACGAGAAAATGATTTACCATGGCATTAATGAGTGGATGTCAGGAGCTTCAAGTTCCCTCTAGATCACGACACACCATTGTCGACTAAATCAATGGCTTCTCTATGTTCTCATCACACCACTGTACAGCCAACATTGGCTCGACTAAATCAATGGCTTCTCTATGTTCTCAGGGTGTTGTTTCCGGCGCTCTGGTCGGCGTGGGGTTTAGCCTGTGGCTGTCTGTGGGCTCGTATCTCCATGGCATCCCCCTCCCACAGAAACCCTACCCCAATGGCACCTGTCACGTGACTGCAGGGAACTGGTCCACAACCAATGTGACGTCACTAGTGCTGCCAGATGTGGACGCTGCTATTGTAGACAGGTGTGTTTTAGACAGGTGTGTTTTAGACAGGTGTGTTGTAGACAGGTGTGTTGTAGACAGGTGTGTTGTAGACAGGTGTGTTGTAGACAGGTGTGTTTTAGACAGGTGTGTTTTAGACAGGTGTGTTTTAGACAGGTGTGTTTTAGACAGGTGTGTTGTAGACAGGTGTGTTTTAGACAGGTGTGTTTTAGACAGGTGTGTTTTAGACAGGTGTGTTTTAGACAGGTGTGTTGTAGACAGGTGTGTTTTAGACAGGTGTGTTTTAGACAGGTGTGTTGTAGAAAGGTGTGTTGGTCTATTTGTTGTTTGTGGATATTCACAGGTGTGGTGATCTAGTTTTTGAGAAAAATAGGTATGTTGGTCTACTAACTGAAAGAAAGTAAAATAAAATGTTTAAAAAAGGTAACCAGCACATTTTTGGCCAGATGTAAAACTCTTTGTATTTTTGTACTTTGGAGCTGAGTTGAAAAACTTCAGGTCATATTTTGTTTTATTAACTCCCTTTGCAGAGGAATTCTTCACAATTTTTACAGCATTTCGTACTTGTGGTATTCTGCTATTGGCATCATTACAGTGATTTTTGTTGGTCTATTGGTCAGCTTTATTACAGGTGAATAAATGTTTCTGAATAGAATCTAGTTTCAAACATTTCGAATTGCTGTGCTATTTACAAAAATTTCGTGACAACGTTAATGACGAACTAATGTAAGTAGAAAATAGTTAAATCCACACTAATTTCTTATCAACAAATCCAGTCGCAGGTCTTGTATGCTGTACAAGTCCCACACCCATTGAATCACAAGTTCTAGCCTTATTTGTCCCAATACCCATCAAGTCACAAGTTCTAACCTGTTTTTCCCATTACCCATCAATGTAGCCTGTTTTTCCCATTACCCATCAATGTAGCCTGTTTTTCCCATTACCCAGCAATGTAGCCTGTTTTTCCCATTACCCATCAATGTAGCCTGTTTTTCCCATTACCCATCAATGTAGCCTGTTTTTCCCATTACCCATCAATGTAGCCTGTTTTTCCCATTACCCATCAATGTAGCCTGTTTTTCCCATTACCCATCAATGTAGCCTGTTTTTCCCATTACCCATCAATGTAGCCTGTTTTTCCCATTACCCATCAATGTAGCCTGTTTTTCCCATTACCCATCAATGTAGCCTGTTTTTCCCATTACCCAGCAATGTAGCCTGTTTTTCCCATTACCCAGCAATGTAGCCTGTTTTTCCCATTACCCATCAATGTAGCCTGTTTTTCCCATTACCCATCAATGTAGCCTGTTTTTCCCATTACCCATCAATGTAGCCTGTTTTTCCCATTACCCATCAATGTAGCCTGTTTTTCCCATTACCCAGCAATGTAGCCTGTTTTTCCCATTACCCAGCAATGTAGCCTGTTTTTCCCATTACCCAGCAATGTAGCCTGTTTTTCCCATTACCCATCAATGTAGCCTGTTTTTCCCATTACCCATCAATGTAGCCTGTTTTTCCCATTACCCAGCAATGTAGCCTGTTTTTCCCATTACCCATCAATGTAGCCTGTTTTTCCCATTACCCAGCAATGTAGCCTGTTTTTCCCATTACCCATCAATGTAGCCTGTTTTTCCCATTACCCAGCAATGTAGCCTGTTTTTCCCATTACCCATCAATGTAGCCTGTTTTTCCCATTACCCATCAATGTAGCCTGTTTTTCCCATTACCCATCAATGTAGCCTGTTTTTCCCATTACCCATCAATGTAGCCTGTTTTTCCCATTACCCATCAATGTAGCCTGTTTTTCCCATTACCCAGCAATGTAGCCTGTTTTTCCCATTACCCATCAATGTAGCCTGTTTTTCCCATTACCCAGCAATGTAGCCTGTTTTTCCCATTACCCATCAATGTAGCCTGTTTTTCCCATTACCCATCAATGTAGCCTGTTTTTCCCATTACCCATCAATGTAGCCTGTTTTTCCCATTACCCATCAATGTAGCCTGTTTTTCCCATTACCCATCAATGTAGCCTGTTTTTCCCATTACCCAGCAATGTAGCCTGTTTTTCCCATTACCCAGCAATGTAGCCTGTTTTTCCCATTACCCATCAATGTAGCCTGTTTTTCCCATTACCCAGCAATGTAGCCTGTTTTTCCCATTACCCATCAATGTAGCCTGTTTTTCCCATTACCCATCAATGTAGCCTGTTTTTCCCATTTCCCATCAATGTAGCCTGTTTTTCCCATTACCCAGCAATGTAGCCTGTTTGTGCCAATACCCATCAAGTCACAAGTTCTAGCCAGAGGCGTAGCGACCCTACCCGGCGCCCGGGGACAAACTTTCGATTTGCACCCCCCCTCGTACTTTTGAGTTGCATCCCCCCTCAAACTTGCGATTTGTTTTTCCAACCCATTTTTGCGCCCCCCCCCCTAAGGTCGGCGCCCGGGACATATGTCCCCCCCCCCCCTCGCTACGCCTCTGGTTCTAGCCTGTTTTTCCCATTACCCACCAAGACACAAGTTCTAGCCTGTTTGTCCCATCATCGACTCTAGGCCGAAGCTCTACTGGTGAGGTGCCCTTGAAGTACCAGATACCCGTATGTTCCAGACTTTGCTGCTGTCTGCCGGTCACGTGGCTACGGAAGTTCAACTGTCACAGAACATTTGATGAGTGTGAGGTAAGTTGTGCTGGTGTGACCTCAATGGCAACATGTGGGTCATAGCATGAGACGGTAATGGTAGTCTGTTGGTCATAGCATGAGACGGTAATGGTATTGTTGTCAGCATCACAACTAGTGCCGTTTGTTTCTCTACCTTTTTTAAATTTAATATTAGAGGAGATTAATCAAGTCACAGTACAAATTCACCATCATTAATTATACCACATAATTAAGTATAGGATCATGTTACGGCGAGTTGACTTTGACATTATATTGTTTTTCTTTATGGAAGTGTTTCCAGAGACTTTCTTTAAACTAGAAGATCTGCAAGGCAGCAGTAGTTTCCTCTGTAGGCTGCCTGCCCCAAACAGCCTCATCTGCCCCAAACAGCCTCATCTGCCCCAAACAGCCTCATCTGCCCCAAATAGTCTCATCTGCCCTTGTTGCTGCCTGCCTCAGTCTCATCTGCCCTTGTTGCTGCCTGCCCCAAACAGCCTCATCTGCCCTTGTTGCTGCCTGCCCCAAACAGCCTCATCTGCCCTTGTTGCTGCCTGCCCCAAATAGCCTCCTCTGCCCTTTAGGCTGCCTGCCCCAAACAGCCTCATCTGCCCTTGTTGCTGCCTGCCCCAAACAGCCTCATCTGCCCTTGTTGCTGCCTGCCCCAAATAGCCTCCTCTGCCCTTTAGGCTGCCTGCCCCAAACAGCCTCATCTGCCCTTGTTGCTGCCTGCCCCAAATAGCCTCCTCTGCCCTTTAGGCTGCCTGCCCCAAACAGCCTCATCTGCCCTTGTTGCTGCCTGCCCCAAATAGCCTCCTCTGCCCTTTAGGCTGCCTGCCTCAAACAGCCTTATCTGCCTTTGTTGATGCCTTCCCCAAACAATGTCTTCTGCCCTTGTTGCTGCCTGCCCCAAACAGCCTCATCTGCCCTTTAGGGTGCCTGCCATAAATGAGCCTCCTCTGCCCTAGTGGCTACCACGATACTTCACTTATTTATTCTATAAGTGAAAGACGATCTTTCACATATCCATCCAGTTGTTAACAGACTGTCCCATCCTATGACAGAATAGACCTTAGCTTTTACAATCATACTCGATAATAAAACATATTCATGGTATTGAAATTGTTGTTGATTGTACTTTTTAGGGCCAGAAACCTGATACGGAAGAAAATGAGCTCCATGTTTTAGACACACGGAAACCTATACATAAGGGAGAAATGACTTACCATGTAACCAGAGCTGATAACAACGGTAGGCACACCCCATCTTTAGTTCGCAATTTTCTGAGGCTGATTTAAGCGTGATTGTAAAAGTACTTAGACGGTTATAATTTAGTAATGTTTTATTTGTTTCACTATTGTTTTACAGGTAAAACTCTGCTAGAAACGGACTACAGTAACGGTTGTGTTGTTGGTGGCCCGAGTAGTGGGGCTGTAGCTGTTGAGGAAATTAATCTTCTACTGCAGGAGTCAGCAACAAAGACAGGATGAAGCTGTTTCTTAGCTTAGACTGGGACCTGTCCATTAGACTGGGACCTGTCCATTAGACTGGGACCTCTCCATTAGACTGGGACCTGTCCATTAGAATGGGACCTGTCCAGTAGACTGGGACCTTTAGCATTAGACTGGGACCTGTCCATTAGACTGGGACCTGTCCATTAGACTGGGACCTGTCCATTAGACTGGGACCTGTCCAATAGACTGGGACCTGTCCAATAGACGGGGACCTGTCCATTAGACTGGGACCTGTCCATTAGACTGGGACCTGTCCATTAGACTGGGACCTGTCCATTAGACTTGGACGTGGGAGCTTACATCTGACTGAAATCTGAGCCTGGTCCATTTGACTTGAGCCTGGTCCATTTGACTTGAACCTGGTCCATTTGACTCAAGCCTGGTCCATTTGACTTGCGCCTGGTCCATATGACTTGAGCCTGGTCCATTTGACTTGAGCCTGGTCCATTTGACTTGAGCCTGGTCCATTTGACTTGAGCCTGGTCCATTTGACTTGAGCCTGGTCCATTTGACTCGAGCCTGGTCCATTTGACTTCTGATCCATTTGACTTGAGCCTGGTCCATTTGACTTGAGCCTGGTCCATTTGACTTGAGCCTGGTCCATTTGACTTAAGCCTGGTCCATTTGACTTGAGCCTGGTCCATTTGACTTGAGCCTGGTTCATTTGACTTGAGCCTGGTCCATTTGACTTGTGCCTGGTCCATTTGACTTGAGCCTGGTCCATTTGACTTAAGCCTGGTCCATTTGACTTGAGCCTGGTCCATTTCACTTGAGCCTGGTCCATTTGACTCGAGCCTGGTCCATTTGACTTGAGCCTGGTCCATTTGACTTGAGCCTGGTCCATTTGACTTAAGCCTGGTCCATTTGACTTGAGCCTGGTCCATTTGACTCGAGCCTGGTCCATTTGACTTGAGCCCGGTCCATTAGACTTGTGCCTGGTTTATATGACTTGAGCCTGGTCCATTTGACTTCTTTGACTGACCAGGTTCAGCTGACTTGATGCTACTTTGACTGCTTTATGCTAACAGATGTTTTTTACTGGAGCAGATTGAGTTATCTACCGTATGTTGTAATAGTATCATCAATCATCCTAGACGACAAAATGTCCATATGTTGTGAACAATTTGCTGTAAGACACAAATCGTTCTGACAAATAAAAGTAGATACTGTTTTAACAAACCTTTATTTAGTTCGCAACGTTTGTTTGTTTGTTTGTTTGTTTTTGGGTTTGTGGCAAATCTTGTAACTCAATTTTTACCTGCTTCTAATGCAGCGATTTCGTTCAAACTTTCCAGATATGTTCCACCACGATGACAATTTTAGTCTATTTATTTTTTTATTTAATTACATGTTTGATTAGTCATTAATTTTATTTATTAAACGGGTTCGAAACTAAGGGGAAGCCCCTATGGACGGCACCCGGGGACATATGTAACCCCCCCCCCCCCCCCCCGTCGCTACGCCTCTGTAACAAGATTAAGAATTTGCTGTCCTTTGTAAAATATGGTCACGGAGGCCTGCTTTAAATAAGAAAATACAACTAATTTGCTTTCTTTAATTTTCTTCAATGCACTGCTGTGCATTTAATATTTGTTTTTTTTTTTGTAATTTAAGTGTCAAATGTCTTACCCTACCCCTTTCCCCTCTCCCCCACCCACCCCGAACATGAGTGCAATATTTAACTTTTTAGCTACAGTACTACGTTACAGCAGCATAAGTAGTACTGGCTTACTACAGGAGTATTGTGCCATCTGTTCTAGCATTAGTTGCTGACAGTAGCGTACGCAGGGGGGGGGGAGTGAATTTGACAATTATAAATAATTAAATGTGTAGACCTATACATATCTATATAAAAAGAGTGATTATTCGATTGTCTTAATTAATATTCCATTATGTCAAATTGTTTTTTACAAGGATTACAAAACAGATTGTTTTGCATTTCTTGTTTTTGTTTGTGTTGTGTGAATACTTTGTGTTGTATTTTGTCTTATGTGATAAATTGTTTGTGTTGTCGGCCTACATGGAGTTTTATTCTTTTGTTTTCTAGTTAATAATGTATGAAAACACTTTTCATATATATATATATATATATAGATAGATAGATAGATAGATATATGGCGCCTTTTTCTCGACTCGCCGCTCCCCCTAACCCAAAAAGCTGTATACGCCTCTGGCTGCTGTCACCTCATTATGTGACACAGCCCTCTTACCCCGTTCTGACCTGACACTCCCAGAGTTTCTTCCAGGCATCTCTTCGGGGGGGGGGTAAAATTGTTACCGCCCCCCCCCCCCCGAACGAAATGAAATTTATATAATTTATATAGAAAATATATACTTTTAACAGTGTCCGCCCCCCCCCCCCCGAAAAAAGTTTACCGCCCCCCCAAAAATTTCAAGTGCCCCCCCCCCCCCGGAGAAAAAAGTCTGGAAGAAACACTGGACACTCCCTTCTTTTTCTTTTAAATAAGCTATAATAAGAAACGGGAATTCAATGTTAGAATATGTTGCAAGCACAAACTGATTTGACAACTAGTCCGAAGTTTTCAATTATTATTTTAACTTATTGGACTGAGGCGCATCCCTAAAATTAGATCTACGATCTATTTATCTATAGGCCTACATGTGGAAAATACAATCGCCATTCAGATTAGAACTAAAGTTTAATTTCAGAGAACAATAGTCACATGGTAGACATCAAACACTTTATTATCAGCAGAAACCAGAGTTTCTTCCAGGCATCTCTTCGGGGGGGGGGGGGGGGGCGAAATTTTTTACCGCCCCCCCCCCCCCGAACGAAATGAAATTTCTATAATTTATATAGAAAATATATACTTTTAAGAGTGTCCGCCCCCCCCTACCGAAGAAAGTCTACCGCCCCCGCCCCCCCCCCCCGAAAATTTCAAGTGCCCCCCTGGAGAAAAAAGTCTGGAAGAAACACTGGCAGAAACATTGTGAAGCTACCAACATAATTTTCTAGACGTTCTCATCAGTGGCGGAACTAGAAAAAAGGGGCCACCCCGCAAAAAAAATTTTTAGGCCCCCCATCCATATAAATATATAGGCCTATATATGTATATATATATATATATATATATATATATATATATATATATATATATATATATATATATATATATATATATATATATATATATATATATATATATATATATATATATATATATATATATATATATATATATATATATATATGTATATGTATATATATATATATATATATATATATATATATATATATATATATATATATATATATATATATATATATATATACTCAAACATAAAATACGATCATAGGATACTTATTGCTGGCCTGTTCGTGTTTTGAGAAATACGTGGGTTTTTGTTAATTAAAACAAATTACAACATCATGTCATGTGTGTAAGTGCATTAGTCTGTTTTGTGAAAAGCAGTTATTTATTATGTCTGTCGTAAGTCCTTTATCAACATATCGGTCAAAAGAATATAAAACATGAAAGCTTTCTGTAAATAATGGTGTCTCGTGTCATGTTTATTTTTATGTTTTTTTGTATTTGTTTTATTAATTTTAAATACATTTTCTTTTTATACAGTGTCATTCTTTAGTAAGTAATTTATAAACAAATAATAGCAAAGAGAAGTAATTGCTTTTTAATTTGTTTAGTACAAATCTATTAAAAAGAGGCTTATGAGTATCACTATTTGACTATTTAAAAAAGGGAAATAAGTCATGGAAGTTGTTTAAACGTTTGCTTATCTTTGAGAAGTTTGATTGTAAGAGAAAGAGGACTCGGCTTTCACGGTGGTTTAAAAACGAAGGAAAAATGAACGTGGGGTGGTGTATATAGAATAAAGATAATCCAACCGCAGCTACGGTAATCTTGTTTACAAAACAAACATTAAGTCAAAAATGCAAGAATTTTTTTTTAACTATAACAATTTTTTTTATGGTCAGCCGTGGGCCCCTAAATGGCGTGGGCCCCCCCCCGCATTGCGGGGTCTGGCGGCACTGTAGTTCCGCCCCTGGTTCTCATCTGCCTGATCCATCTACCAGCCATGTCTATTATACATACATACGTATTCTTTTATATAGCACTAGCGTACCCGCCCCCGCGTGTTTCCGCGGGAATAAAAGAAAGTTTAGACCGAACGCATTCACCATAGCGCTCACGGGAAAGACCAGGGCGCCAAATCGCATTCTGCCGGGGGGGGGCGACCATGCAAAATTAAATCCCCCCTCCCACCACCACCTACCCCCTCTACCACCTCAGAAACCTTCTCGGGAGTATTCATCAACTGCCCAAAGTTTTATGGCACCCCGATAAACTGTGTCGAACCGCAATCGTCTTTTATTTTTATATACCGTATGTAGAGAAAAATCGCACCCTCCCGCGGTGCCGCCCTTGCGAAATTAAAAATTAATATTTTTTTTAAATAATCTTTTCCTAGAGTGTTCTAATCAACTCCCCAAAGTCTCATGGCTATCGGATGAACCGTGTCAAACCAAAATCGACTTTTATTTTTATATAACGTTATAAAGAAAAAAAAACAAATCGCGTTGTCCGGCGCCACCCCTGCAAATATGAAAATGTTTTTAGCGCAAAAACCTCCCCAGGAATATTCTCAACAACTTCCCAAAGTTTCACGGCGATGTGATGAGAGGTGTGGTAATGCTTAAAAGACACACACACACACACACACATAAACATACATCGCTTTATATATTATATAGATTAGATGCCTCCAGTGGTGCCACTGGGTCTTTAAAATCCCTATCAGCCAAAGGGAACGGAAATGACAAAAAATGTCTGAAAAAGAATATCTCAGTGCTATGCCGGAAGACATTCATTAGAAAGCTGAGGGTGGACCAGTTGATTAGATGTACGTGCTGTCTGGGGACAAGGGTCACACCAGGATCACCAGGACCACCACCACCAACTGGACCACCCAGACAACCAGGACCACCCAGACCACCAGACAACCCGGACCACCACCATCAGGACGACCAGGACCACCAGGACCACCACC